GTGTGTGTGTGTGTGTGTGTGTGTGTGTGTGTGTGTGTGTGTGTGTGTATGATGTGGATGGTTCTAATGTGTTTTGACACAAATTAGAATATTTTTAAATGTAACTGAATGATTCATGGAAGTGGAAAGAGACTAAAGACAGCAGCAGAGTGAGGACATGTAAAATAGATCAGTTGTGGAGTTCCTCAGGGTTCTGTGCTTGGACCTAAAATGATTTGAATAATGTGACAAAACTTTCAAAATGTATTTTGTTTGCTGATGACACATTTTTTTATTCTGGTGAAAATATTGAACAGATGTTGGAGGAAATACAAACAGAAGTTATGAAAATACAAACTCAGTTTCAACTTAAGTTTTTGGATTTGGACAAAACGAACTGCATGATATTTAGTAACAGAGAAAATTATTTAAGTCCTATTTAAAGTTGATGGGACTGAAATGTATAGTTAGTGGAATTAAAATTTAAGGTGTCAGCACAAGTCTACGAAACTGAATGATTCATGTAAATGAATGAGTCACTATAAACAAATGATTCACTATAAATGAATAATTCCAGTATCTGATTCCTGTAAATGAATGATTCACTATAAATGAATAATTCATTGTAACTGAATCATTCCAGTAACTGAATGATTCATATCAATGAATGATTCATATCAATGAATGATTCATATCAATGAATGATTCATTGTAACTGAATGATTCATGTAAGAAAATAATTCACTATAAATTGATTCAGTTTACTGAATGATTCCTGTAACTGTTTTATTTTCTCAGGTTACTGTGAAGGGAACGGTTTCAGAGTTGGTTTTGGATCTTGTCAGGGAACCATCCTTCCTGCCCTGCAGCTCTGAAGTGGTCCATTCAGCTGTCATTTGTAAGATTCTTTACAGGACCTCTGACCCCCACCATCTGAACTCATTTAAACCTGCTGCAGGATCTGATGAGTGTTTTTACTTTTTGACTATTTTATAGACATGTAGTTGTTGTGTACATGAGAACAAGCAGTTTGTTTTGTTCAATTTGTTCCTTTTTAGCAGCAAAGAAACAAAATTCATGTTTACAGCTTGTTTTATCTGAAAAAAACCTCAACTTTCAGGCTGTTAATTTAATTATAGTGTGAAGTTTGAATGTGGGTCCATGTTTAGAGACAAACTGATTTTTACACTATTGCTCTACATTTTCAGATGGACTGTCAGTGCTCTGACTGCTGACCTTTGTTTTCAAACTTTGAAATATTCAGTCAGCTGTGTAGCTTTAACTCTAAGAATATTTTCCTGAAAAGATTTAATCTTACTGATTATTTTTGTTTCCTTGAGATTTACACAGAAGTTGTGTATTTGAATACTAAACATGTTTAACACTGACTGTTTGCAGCAAAATAAATCATCCTGACTGAAAACCTCAGCAGCTCCTGATGGTTACTCTGAACCTCACATCCTTCATCAACACCTTCAGTATCTGTGAATCCATCTGATTTAAATGTAATCAGTCAGTCAGTCAGTAGTCAGTCGTTCAGTCAGTCAGTCGTTCAGTCAGTCGTTCAGTCAGTCAGTCGTTCAGTCAGTCAGTCGTTCAGTCAGTCAGTCGTTCAGTCAGTCAGTCGTTCAGTCAGTCAGTCGTTCAGTCAGTCAGTCGTTCAGTCAGTCGTTCAGTC